AAGTAATGACGTCCATCATCTGTCTTCTCTAGATGAAGGTTGTCTCGTTCTTTCATGCCCTGCAAGTCCTAGCGTGCTTCAAGTGAATCCTTTGGCTTCCCGTACACACCCATGAATCCTAACAGGTTCACACAAAGATTCTTTGTCAGGTGCATCACGTCGATTGCGTTGCGGACCTCTAGGACTTGCCAATAGGGTAGCTCCCAAAAGATGGACTTCTTCTTCCACATGGGTGCGTGTCCCTTAGCATCTTTGGGAATAGATTCACTGCCTTGTCCCTTTCCAAATACTACTTTCACATCCTTGACCATTGCGAGTACATCTTCCTCGGTTCGGTTATGAGGCTTCTTCCGGTGGTCTGGCTTACCTTTAAAATGCTTCCCTTTCTTTCTTACTTGGTGATTCAAAGGAAGGAATCGACGATGGCCAAGGTACACGACCTTTCGACATCTTTTCAAATATATACTGTCAAGGTCATCAAAACAATGTGTGCATGCATTATATCCTTTGTTTGTCTGACCTGAAAGATTACTTAAAGCAGGCCAATCATTGATTGTTACGAACAACATTGCTTGTAGGTCAAAGTGTTCTTGTTTGTACTCATCCCAGACACGTACACCTGGTTTGTTCCATAAAACTAGAAGTTCTTCAACTAATGGCTTCAGATAGACATCAATATCGTTGCCAGGTTGCCTCAGACCTTGGATGAGGATCGGCATCATAATGAACTTCCGCTTCATGCATAACTATGGAGGAAGGTTGTAGATACATAGAGTAACTGGCCAAGTGCTATGACTAGTGCTCTGCTCTCCAAAATGATTCATACCATCTGTACTTAAGGTGAACCTTAAGTTTCTAGCCTCATTTGCAAACTCTGGAAATTCCCTGTCTATCGCTCTCCACTGGGACCCATCAGCTGGGTGTCTCAGCATATTGTCTACCTTACGGTCTTCTTTATACCACCGCAACAACTTTGCATGGTCTTTATTTCTGAACAAACGTTTTAAGCGTGGTATTATAGGAGCATACCACATAACCTTGGCAGGGATTTTCTTTCTAGGACATTGTTCACCCTCGACGTCACCAGGATCATCGCGCCAGATCTTATACCGCGATGCTTTACATACCGGGCATTCATCCAAATTCTCGTATTCATTGCCATGGTAGAGTATGCAGTCATTAGGACAAGCATGTATCTTCTGGATTTTTAATCCCAAAGGGCAGACAACCTTTTTTGCTTCGTACGTAGTGGTGGGCAATTCATTTGACTTCGGAAGCATCTTCTTTATGAGGTTCAATAAATTCCCAAATGCCTTGTCGGATACACCATTCTTTGCCTTCCACTGTAGCAATTCCAGTGTTGTACCCAGCTTTTTTTGCCCCTCTTCGGCCATCGGGTATAGCAACTTCCTATGATCCTCAAGCATGCGCTCGAACTTAACTTTCTCTTTTTCACTTTCCCATTCTTGTTGTGCATCACGAATGGCATCGCCAAGAGCATCACCGAGATCATCTTCTACCGCTACCTCTTCTTCATCTCCCCCCATTATAGTATCATCAAAGGCACCATACTGAGCAATAATGTCATCAATGTCTAAATCTTCTCCTTCACCTTCTACCATCATGACCCCGCTTTCTCCATGCTTAGTCCAACATATATAGTTTGACATGAAACCTGACTTAAGCAAATGTGAATGAAGACTCATTGGGCTTGAATATTCCTTTAAATTCTTACATAGGGCACATAGATAGCACATGAAACCATCCCGCTTATTTGCCTCGGCCACACCTAAGAAATAGTGCAAGCCCTCAATAAAGTCTTGGGAGCGGCGATCGGCATTGTACATCCAATGGCGTGACATAATCTGTATTACACGACAAATTATGAAAACCTTAAACATAATTAAGTATTTTATTACACAACATAGATGACACACACACGGTTGATTAATTAACTAAGCCTGGCTACAACGTAAGCAATCCCAACTATCACTAAACAAACTAAAACTATAATGCACTTCAGTAACATAATTATTTCGTGATCGTACGCAACTAAAACAGACAAATCATTCTTTTGTTGAATATCAATAAGCTTCTCCTGCTAGCTCACTGCCTCATCTGCAGTAGCCGAATTCTGCACGTATGTAGCATAATCTTCCTCCCAGTACCAACCATCGCATCCATTGCCCTCCCACTGAAATTAAAGCCAAAAAATATTTAGTCAAAAATATTCAAGAAAAGCAGGTCAATTAGCCATAATAATCAAATGCGTAAGAAACTCACATCGCGATCCGGGCACTTGTAGAAAACACGACCCTTGTTGGGTCCCTGTTTCTTGACTCGGTACTCCATCACAATCTTCTGCTTACACTTGCCGCAGATAATGAGAGGGAGTTCTGGCCTCAGTCGTTTCGCAACCGAACGAGAGGCCGAGGATCCGGTACCAGTTGTCATCTACTTTCTATACTTATTTTTGCAAACTACTGTAAATTTCACATTTTCTAAAATAATATATTTAAACAAAACTAAAATTATTTATTTATCTAACTAAACCATGAAATATGTACTATGTATAATAGTAAAATACCAAACTATCAAGTGATTTTACTATTGTAAATCATCATGTGATTTTGAGCTAAAAATGACATAGAAATCACATAGCTCAAAAACATGTTTCAATAAATAACCATCCGTACTAGTTGACCTTGCTTATGTGATCATCTCGGCGAGCATTTCTCCATCGGACGGCACCGTACTTGGCCAAGGAAGAGCTCCGATTCTACGAGGAAGGGAACACGGTCTTCCACGACCGTTGCCGCTCTCCCTCGTAGAATCAAAGCTCCTTCTTGACGTCCGTTACCGCTCGGCAGAGAAAATGCTCGCCGAGATGATCACAGTCCGCAAGTTCAACTAGTATGGATTTTCTACAATTTTCTAACAATTTTCTAAGTTTTTCATTTCATGGAAAAATTAATTCTAAGATCACATAAGCCGCCGGGGACGAGGATGGCGCGTGCTCCAGCGAGGACGAGCGAGGCGTGATTTTGATGAACTAATTTAACTTTTGTTTATCCAAACATATATGCAAATCATCATGTGATTTTGAGCTAAAAATGACATATAAAATCATAATAAAGTCCAACATATAAAGTAACACATGCATCTACATCGCAAAATGAGATAAGCTACTGATAAAATATAAGAGGATTAAGTTTGTTACCTCTAAAATCGAAGAGCAACACCAATGGAGGGGGAGAGAGCAAGAACAACAGCAAGCTGAAGAACAGAGGCAGTGAGTTTGAATGGAATGGCTCGGGCTCGGGGAGGAAGAAATGAGCCGGTGTATAGGCCGGCATAATTAGTTCCGGTTAGGTGGCCAAACCGGGACTAAAGATTAATATTTATTCCCGAGGACTAGTAGTGCTCGCTGCAAATAGCACGCATCTTGCATGCATCCTTGCTTCTGTACCTCAGTTACTACTCTAGTTATTGTTTTCCCGTGAGTTGCTTTCATCTAATCTTGGTGCTCCTACGTGAAGCTGCTGGGAAGTAGCAAGGCTAGCTACTGCTGGCGCATAGATCCTGGGAGGCCACTGTCGTGAAGGCAAAGGGAAATAGCAGAAAGAGAATTGTGGCAAGAAAGAGGAGGAAAGAAAAGGTTAGACTTATGGTGATCTATTTAGTTCTTTGCGAAATTAAGGTTTCTGTTGTGGCAGCTGTCTTAAGAAGGACGTAGAGGCAGCAGTTGCGTACGTGTACAAGTCAATTTGTAACTGGTTGATCAATTTGGAGTACGCTCTAATTAGGCAGATTGAATCGGCGAATTTCTGGGAATAATCTGTAAATTATCTCAACAGGTGAGTTAAACAAAAGTCACAGCTCTCATTTTTATCTTCCCAACGGTGCTGATTTCATTCAAATCCCATAAGTTATGCCCAAAATAGTGCTGCTTTCTAGCTAGACATATTCTCTGTGCATAAATCTTTTATCTATTTTAGAGGTATTTAGAGTCAGAATTGGTCCTGGATTTCTAAACCAAATTATAGGAAATTTTCTGTAGATATCCGAGATGTATTTATTTGCTGCATTTGGATAATAGAATTGAGAGTTATGGTCTAAACAGCAAGGAACTCAAATTTTACTGGATCTTCTAAAAATATGAGAATTGACATATTAGGGTTCGACTAAGAGGTTTAATTGAGCTTTTTATAAAATAGCTTCGTGATCGATGTGGATTAGTTCCTATGGTAGTTTGCTCCTCGGGTCTGGGAAGCGCCGTTGCCGAGGGTGGCACGCATGCCGGATTCTCGCCAAACTTAAGGCAAGTGCACGACGAACCTTTGTATGGGCTTATGCCTCTTGTTTGAGTTTTCAATTGATTCAATTGTTTCATGTGCTATATGATTCAAGTTCCAAGTGTTCTTTTAAATTAAATTCCTGTTTCGGTGGATCCGGATGTGCAATTTGGTTTTTATATTCAAGTTCAAGTTTCATGATTTCTTTTAGAGTAAAATGCTCCTGATGTCCATTAACTTTCGTTGGGGTGTTATTTAGGTCCATCAACTTTGAAATTGTATTTTTGGATCCATTAATTTTCGTTGGGGTGTCATCTTGGTCCATCAACTTTGTAACTGCATTTTTTGGTTCATGAACTTTTAAAATGGTTCACTGCAGGTGCATGCCATTTATTTAACCTTAAATCCAACGCATGCATGCAAACACGTCGGCTTCGGCCTCCGGTCTTTGCGTCGGTGGAGACCAGCCAGGGCCAGCGTCTGTTGCAGTGGGGCAGTGGTTGGCTGTGGCTGTCCTATGCTGTGCCCGCCCGCCCACGTGAGCCCACGCCGCAAGGCTCAGTGGCTCACCGGCACCGTGGCGGCGTGTGCGGGCTCCATCCGAGCGAGGCGTGCACGAGCACGACGGCACGAGCCAGGAACGGGGCCAGGCCAGCACCAGTTCAGTTGGATGACGCAACGCAATCTACTTTGGTTGCTGCTGTGATGCAGAATGTTGAGTACGGCTGCAACATCATCCAGAACTGCAACCTGGACGACGGCCTCAACGGGTGGTGCCTGCTAGGCCCCTGCACGCTGTCCATCCACGACGGCAGACCTCGGGTGCTCCCGCCCATGGCGCAGGAGTCCCTGGCGCTGGACGACGAGCCGCTCAACGGCAAGCACATCCACGTCACCAACCGCACACAGACGTGGATGGGCCCCGCGCAGATCATCACCGACAAGCTCACGCTCTACGCGACGTACCAGGTCTCCGCCTGGGTCCGCGTCGGCGCCCAGCAGGCCAGCGGCGCCGGCGCGCCGTAGACCATCAACATCGCCTTCGCCATCGACAGCTAGTGGATCAACAGCGACCAGGTCCTGGCGTGCGACGAGCGCTAGCTGGTATGAGGTCGGCGGCGCGTTCCGCATGGAGGCGAAGCCGGCGTCGCGCGTCATGGTGTACGTCCAGGGCCCCGACGCCGGCGTCGACCTCATGGTCGCGGGGCTCCAGGTGTTCCCCGTGGACCGGAAGGCCCGCGTCAAGCACCTGAAGCGGCTCACCGACAAGGTGCGCAAGCGGGACGTGGTGCTCAAGGTGACGGGCGCCGACGGGGCCGCCGTCAAGGACGCGGACGGCGTGGACGTGCGCTAGGTGTCCAACAGCTTCCCGCTGGGCGCCTACATCATGCGCACCAACATGGACAACGAGGACTTCGTTGACTTCCTCACCAAGAACCTCCTCACAAATTTGGTATATTTGTGGATCACTACTGGAATCTCGCATTTTTCTATGTGTGGTGAATACCGTCAGAAAAATATTTTTCTGACGGTGTACCCTCAGAAAAATACCCACAGAAATATAATGACAAAAAAATTCAATTGTTCAGAAACAATTTTTCTGTGTGTTCGTCATCAGAAACAATTTTTCTGTGGGTGTTACACGCACAGAAAAATTGCATTAGCCCAGATTAAATTTAAATGTTGTGTGCGTTGATCCTCACAGAAAAAAAGCCCGACAGGAAAATGATTTTTCTGTGCGTGTTACATGCACAGAAAAATTGCGTTAGCCCAGATTAAATTTAAATGTTGTGTCGGTCTCAGTTAACACACAGAAAATAACAGACCACCGACAGATAAACCCTTAACGATGCAGCAAATTGGATACAATAATTATATAGAAATAGAACAGTAGCAACAACATATTAAATATGGACTGTCCATACTGTAATTTCATCACAACATAATAGATAGCATACATATAAAGATCCAAATATTCAGCACATTCATTAATGTACCCTAGAAAAATTCCCATTTCCGTGAACTGTCGATATCTCATATGACAAGGGAACCCATGGTCCAATTTTTATTTCAAAAGAACTTCTTGCTCATACTTGCAAGAAGCAACTGAAGAATGTAAAGTCAGGGCTAATTACAGATTTATGAAAAGATGGACCATGCACTGTGTTCTAGCTCCCATCTAATCAGTTCAGACAACTCTTTTCGGACGGTCATGATTGCTTCACAGCAACATTTGGACTGAGGTCCATGCTCATGTGGTTATAGGCAAGAGGTGCGTACATCCATGTATCTTCAGAGCTCAGGAGCTGTTACGGAAAAAAAAAAGGGAAGGTAAATGAGAGGCATGCTCCTGCACATCGAATTAGTATTTTCAGATGCAGAGTATACAATGCTCTGTTCTCCCAAACCTAATATGTAACCTTTTTTGTTCAAGCACTAAAATGGCCTCAAGATGTATTTGCATAGAGTTGGCTTTACAACTTGAGAATAGTATCAGATCAAGACAACAACTAAACCTAGTTAAGTAAAAAAGAGATCGAATGATACTGCTCGACAAAAGGAGCCAACCACAGGCAATATGAACATATGGAATAAATCAAAACTAAACCACATGTCCATGAAGGCATGAATACCAGCATAATTGACTACTTGGTTCTCGCTTCCCACTACAAAAACTCAAGGATAACACAAAAACCATACTACTCAGTTGAAATAGTATTATTGATAATAATGCTTGAGAAATAATGCTAAGATAACAATAACATAGCCACGAATAAGATATATTGTTAAAACTAGTTGAGCGTCTTAATTGCAAACTACAATAGCAAGTGCAACCTTGGAATCAGAGAGAACAAAAAAAAATATTTCAGGCTGCAAGTCTAATGACACATTGAAGAGCAAGTTTAAGAGAGAAATCAGAAATTTGGATGACTAAAAAAATAACATCAGCAGGTGATTTGACACCCAAAAAGAGAAGTGGAAGGGAGGGGGGAAAATATACCTCCAGACCTGGTCACAGCCTCTCTGCTTGTAACAGTTACACCTGGCCATTAAAGAAAGAGTCAAACTAGAAGTACAAGGAAACACTGATTGGTTTTATTTTGGTCTTTTGGAACAAACCAGTACATGCCAATAACATAGAAGGTCATAATTCATAGCTGTCAATTCAATACATACTAACTCAAGTCAGTTTGCTTTCAAAATTGCATAATAATACATATGCATTTATTACTTTTTAACAACCAAAAAGCAATTGTGCATGCTTGGTGTGTCCCCACTATCAGACCATGTACTGACTACAAAACAATTGATGAATTTGATTTAAAAAGTTACAAACTCTTTCACCACCCTACAACAAATAATTTGATTTGTACATGTCACAAGCCATGTTCTATCGCCAAGTAGCAAGCACAAACTTTTCGTAATCCAACATTAATCAGGAAAATTGAGTGAGCGAGTCTAACCAAGAATCTTTAACCGCGACCTGAGCCGCTGTTGAAGTAGGCGATGAGAAGGATGACACCCTGCAAACATGAGCACATAACACCATCAGCATCTAGAAAATTACAACTAATAGTAGTAGCAGTCGGGTAACAGACAGAGAGCTAGAATTACTAGGACGACGAGGGCAAAGGTGAGCACGGGAGGCGAGCGTGACTTGGGGTGAGAAAGATAAGATGGAATGTTGTGCCTACTGAGAACTCACAAGGTACTGCTCAATGGAAAGAGACAGCTGATTCTAGTAACAAGAACTGGAAAGCAGATGGATGGGGTGCCAAATCTGGTAACAGGAGTAGCCAAAGAAACAATCCTGGAAGACCCCCAAGGAGACCGGATGAGAGGGGTCCACCTCCACCAAGACAACGGTTTGAACTAACAATAGAGGAGAAGAACATTCTTCTAGAAGTTGACCATCTCCAGAAATTTCACATTTGAAAGTATTACCTAAGTTTCACAGTCCAAGGCAACAAATATATGATTTGCATGCAAAAAAGTCATGTTCTTCTACAAATAGGAATGCAAAAATTACAGAGCTCTATTGAACTGAGCTAATAGAAAAGAAACTATTGGTCATTCCAGATCCATTAGAGAGCAGTATGTCAAAAGCACAAGAACTACATATATTTCACCTGGAGCAAAAGAACAAGAGCAAAAGAACTCGAGAAATGGCTCAGATTTACCCATTATCAGCATGACAACTGCAATTTAATTTCACCTGGAACTTAATTTAATTCTCTCTATCTAATGGGAATTGAACTGGCCACAGAACTGGTTGCTTGTACTGGTAGAAGCCATCCTAGTTAAGCAGCAAACAGAACAAAATATCCCAAGTACCAGCTCATAAGGTGCTAAAGTGCATAAGTTCTCTAATGGAAACTTGATTCATCACAGCCACTCAAGAGTAGTACAAAACAAAAAAAAGTCACAAGGCATAGTTAGGGAAAGGGAGAGCAGCGCGGCACGAAACTACAACATAGAAGGTGGTAATTAGATTACTATAAGTATGATGGCTGCAGTCACTAATATGTATATCACAGAAAAAAAGAGCAAACCTGTTCAACGTTAGTAAAAGTTGCCTCCTCTGGAATCTCAGAAATTCCATATGACAATAGGTGACGAGAACGTTCACGTGTGTAGTTCATCTGCATGGATCCGAATCCGGGAGAGGGAGGGACGGCGCCGGGGAAGAAGGCAGGGGAGGGGCGGCGCAGGGGAAGAAGAAGTCCGGGGAGGGGCGGCGCCGGGGACCACCACCACCACGCCAGCACCACGAAGCCCGCCGCCACGCCGCACGTCGCCCACCGCCCGCCACCACCAGAGCCCCGATCCGGCCGCCACCGGCCTCCACCGGCCGGATCCGGGAGAGGGAGGGCCGGATCTGGGAAAGGGAGGGGCGGCGCCAGGGAAGAAGAAGGCCGGGGAGGGGCGGCGCCAGGGAAGATGGGGAGGGGCGACGGCAGGGAGGGGAGGGGCGCTGGGGGCCGGGTGCCGGGGAAGAAGGGAGGAGTCTTTGGGGTCCGGTGCGGAGGAAGAAGAAGGGAGGGGGAGGGGCGCCGGGGTTCATGTCTGGATGAAGAAGAAGAAGGAGGGAGGGGTGCTAGGGTTGGTCAAAAGGAGGAAGAAGAAGGGAGGGGAGGGGGCGCCGGGGTTGGTCTTGGAGGAAGGGAAGAAGAAGGAAGGGGTCCTACTCGTTTGAATTTTTCTGTGCGTTTTTTAAGAACCGACAGAATAATTTGTATTTTTCTGTGAGTGTTGATTTTTTCCGTGTGTATTGTCACGCACATGGTTTTCGTATTTTTCTGTCGGGATATTTTGAAACCGACAGAAAAATTGTGCGTACCAAAAAAAACGCACAGAAAAATTAAACGACCACAGAACAATTCGAGTTTCCAGTAGTGGATCTATTTGCTATATTTAATTAATTTATTGTATTTCTAGGAATTTTTTTGTATAAGTCAAATTTGAACTGTAAGTGATTCAAATAATAGAATAAAATGAGTAGAAAAATGATATTCATGTTATTAAGTCCAGTGTGAGGCCTTACCCGAGAAATGAAAAGAAATTTTGAACATCTTGTTCAGGAAACACGACCACGAACATGTGACCGAATGGTTTTTAAATTCTAAAAAAAGCAAACGAAGTCTGAAAATCATGAGATTTGTTATGATGTGATGATATCATACGTGGAGGCTGTGGTAAAAAATTGAGAAGGTTTTGATAAAAGATGAAAGACACAGAACAAAATTACTTGTTATTCTTTGAATTTTTTTCCCCCTGGACGGTTGCTTGTCGTCGGCATCGCCTTTCTGATAGATTCCAAGTTGTCAATTCCAATCTGGCGAGACCAAGATTAAAACTTGGCAAGATCGGGTTCGGGATACAGTGACTTCGCTGTGAACAAAGGTTAATTTTTTTTAACAAGATCCGTGGGCTATTATATCTAGTACCAACTATTTACCAACTAAAAAATAGTTAAGTCTTTCGTCCAACCGTGTGTTGGTGTGCGTGCCCGACACTCTTCGTAATAACGAGACCAAAACGAAGAGGAAGACGTGGAGAATTCCACGTACGCACGTCTCTTTTTATTTCCCGGTGCTTGTGGATCAACGTGCAGTGGCCTGCTGGCGACTGGCGGTGGCAGCGGCACGGATCGAAGGTTCTCGCGCGTGAAGACGCCGACGCCCGCGAGCTACGGGGGAACAGCGCGCGCCGCCCCTATGGCGGACGTGTATGGCGACGCCTAGCCCTATTCATTTCACTAAAATTTGACTTATGCTGATTTGTTATGAAAAGAAAACAATGTTTGTTCGCTGAAAAATACTATAGAAGTAGTTGATGGCAACTGGTCAGCCG